AGAAGGAACCCTTTTTGTTTGGGAGGGGCTCCGTGCTCCTTAGTTGTGTTACTGTTTGCCTTGGGTTTACCTTCGGTCTGAGATCTGCAACGAAAGTTAAACTTGTGGAAAAAAGGGGCCCCGTTCCTCAATTAAGGTTCCTTAGGTTCAGGAGGGGAAAAAGCACACAGACACAATTAATCGTCGACCCCCAAGAAAATATGGGAACATATGGGAATTGGGCGGGAAGACAACAACCCAGAAAATATAGGAAAATATAGGGGATATATATATATATATACAAGACTGCAGTGGCGCTTCGCGCCATGCACCTTGGTCCTTGAAGTTTGGTTTGCAGTCGGAATAGCAGGAAGGTCAAGCCGACAATCTAGAGATAACTCCTTGTTGCCTTTTCCGGCATCGCCGCTATAATAATGTTATTCGTTATCTTTCCTCCATGCTTCTTTTTCCTTATGTTGGTCGTACCCTTCGCATTCTCCCCATCCTCCTCAGCTCTTTTTTGCGGAGGCTCTTCCTTGGAGAGCCTCTGGGGGCCTCACAAAAGTTGTTTCAGGCTTTCTTAAGACCTTCTGGAGGCCTCTTGGGCGTATTCTGGGGGCCTTTGGGGACTTCCTCGGGCCACCCTGCCTCCAACCGCGGTCTCCCTGAACGACCTGGTCACGATTTGGAGTGCTTCGGAGGGTGTCTTGGGGCCATCTTGGGCCGCCATGGGGCGCTCTGAGGGCCATCTTGGACCCGTGTTGTGCCGTTTTGGGGCTCTCTTGGACTGCCTGGAAGCCCTTTCGGATGGTTGTGGGGCGATGCTGGAGCCTCCCAGGCGGCTTCGGACGCCCAGAAGACCGCCGTCTTGGAGCGTCGGGAAGCCGAAAAGAGGAGAACCGCAAATTTCAGCAAAAAACAACAGAAAATCAAAGATTTGTGCCTCTTGGGGCCTTCTTGGGAGTGCTCTTGGAGGCCTCTTTGGGGCCGTCCTGGAGGCCTTTTGGACCATCTTGAGGTCACGTCGGTCACTCTTGGAGCGCTCTTGTGCTGTCTTGGGGGTCCGGGACGTCTCCGATGACTCCCCTGATCGCCCTAGGTGTGCTGGGAAGGCTTGGCAAAACGCCCTGCGAGGCCCGGGGGGCCGCTTCGAGGCCCGTCCGGAGGGTCCCAAAGCCCCAGATCCCAGGAGTCCGGTTTGGGGGGGGGGGGGGGTGCGGGGTTTTGCGGCCGCCCGGGCTTGTAAAAATATAGAAAGCGGAATATTTGAGTGTGTGTATTTATTTGTGTGTCCTGGGGCGCCTTCATAGGTCAACGCCCCCACTGTAAGGGCGTGGCCCTCCTGCCCCGGCAGCCCCCCCGCCGCCGCTCTCGGGGGCGCGCCGAGGCCGCCCGCCCTGCAGCATACGCTGAGTAGCTGCAGCACCTTGCACATGCGTGTTCCATGCTGCTGTGCCCTCTGTTTAAGTCGGGCCTGTCCCCCTATACAGGGGGATTGTCGACGAAAACTAAAACATGCACCAAACATAGTCAACAAATAGTGCAGAAATAGTCTGGGGACTATGTTGTTGAGCATGTTTTGACCTTTGGGGGTTATTTTTTGGGGTATCTTTTTTATTTTCCGTCGAAAATCCCCCTGTCGGGGGACACGCCCGACTTAGCCCTCTGTGTGCCTGTCTTTGAGCCGATGTCTCTGGGTCCTCCTCCCTTCCCTCCCCGCGCGCGCTTCCCGCCCCCCTTGCCCTGCCCTGCGCCCCTTCCCTCCGTCCCATCCCCTCGCTCTCGCTGCCCTCCCTCCCGATCTCAGCCTCTCCCTCCGGCTGTTCCGGTCGCCCCGAGCAGCCAGCCGCTCCTAACTATGTGCGCTCCACGCTGTTTCGGCATGGCTCGGGAGAAGCGGACGAGACAGGACGTGCCGCTGGTGGAACGCAGGGGGGGCATCTCGCTGCAGTGGTGGCCTTGGGAGTGGCGGCGGCCAGCATTACGGTGACAGCCAGCCGTGCATTCCACAGCCTTGCACGCGATGCTGTAGAACGGTGGCACGGTGACTTCAAACCTCCACGCTGTGGCGGTGAGGACGCCCGGTAGGAAAATCTTGACTCGGCATGGCGGAGCCCGCGCTCGCCAAGATGTTCCAGAGCAGTTGGGTGTCGGGTGGCACGCCAGCCATCCGAACTGCAGATAGCACGTGGGGATTGGCCATGGTGTTCAGCATGTGCCGTCCATCGGAGGGCACCAACTACACACCAACACCGATCCTGGCCCAGGATCACCCTGGGCCCAGGATCTGTGTATATGCCTTCTTGCCTGCCCAAGGCAGGAGGGTGTATACACCGATCCTGGGCCCAGGGTGATCCTGGCCAGGATCGGTGTTGGTGTATAGTTGGTGCCTTCCTAGTCCAGCCAGGTCCAGGCCACGCGGCTGCAGCACTGCGGCAAGCGGTGTCGGAACACCCGCGCGGACAACGGTCCCCCCTGCGGCCACTGCAGGATAACCTGCTTGAATCCCCAAGCACCGCGCACCACCAGGAGGGGCACAACGATGACCTCCAGGCGACTGAGCAGAAGCTGCACGAGACGTGTGGTCGGCCCAGCGAGTCCTCCCCCACACCCCCCCCCAACGAGGAGGAGACCCCACACACGGCCAAGGGGGGGACTACGGAAACGCTCAGCGACGAGCAGCACAAGGAGAGCACCCCGGAGCTCCAGTAGACCGATCGCGCGAGCCCGGGAGGCCAGCGGCGTCTGCGCGGCCGGCTGCGCAGTCAATCGCCCAGCTGCCACCCGTCTTGGACCATATTTCGCTTGCAAGAGGCGACCGCGATCGCCCGCTGCGCCCGAATTATTGCGCCCGAGCGTGCGCGCCTCCAGCGAGGGCACAGCAAGGAGCTCCGGCGCAAGCTGCAGACGCGGGGGCACCGCGGCGGGGGGGCGAGCTCTGGCATGCGCGCTCGGGCCGGGCCCCTGGGCCGCGGCGCTGCGGAGACGGGGCGGGGTGTTTTCCTGCAGATGCCCCGCGGCATCGTGCGACCACGTGTCCGCGGGGCTTCTCCCCAGAATCCACTCTGCGAGGGCGGGGATATGGATAGCTTCGCCGCTCGTGAGCTCACCACCTACCAAACCACCCCCACCCAACCCGAAGGCCTCGGGTATGGTACCCATGTGCTTCGGCCGGCGCCTTGACGCGCCACCCGCCAGCGTCGGTCGACGTGGCGGGTCGGCAATTCGGCTCGGGGGGCGTCCGGCCGCGGCCTCACCCAACGCTGATTGGGTGCCGTCCTTCCCTCTTGGGTGGCATCGCTGTCGAGCGTCGCCGCAATGGAGACTCATGAGGGGGGGGGGTCGGGGAACGCTGAAAAATCACATAGAGCCCGTACCCCCCCCAACCCGAAATTCGGGTCCAATTCGGGTCTTCCGGTTGGGTTGGGGTGGTCTGGTAGGCAGTCATGCGCGAGCTCTGGCGCTCGCACTCGGGAGCTTCGGTGATGTGAGCAGCGCTGCTTTTTTTTATCGTTTTCCAGAGCGACATTACCTTTTCGCTTTGAGGCCCGTTTCTGTTTCCCCCCCTCGTTTTTGTTAGTCTCGGTCACGCGGTTTTTTGTTTAATACCGTTTCGTACCGGATTTCGCGCCGCGGCGGTGCGTGCGCCGACGGAGGCGAGCATCGCCGCGGGAGAGCGTTTGCGAGGCGGTGGATATTTGACATATGTGGTCCCTTGGGGCCCGATTAGTCGGTCGGTCCTGATTAGTCGGTCGACACTGATAGATCAAGGGTGCCCTTGTGTCCTGTGCCTCGCGACCCATGCCTTCCTACCTTCCTACGGCAATGTGGCCCTCGGCAGGGTCTCGTCGCCTGCCGTGGTCCCTGGAGATCGATGCCCCAGGTGGTGGGTCTGCACAAATTCGCCTCGGAGCACTGTGGGTGGCGCCGGCAGTCGGCGCTCACGGGGGCCAGCCAATCCTCTCAGAGATCCTCTTGCTGACCCGGGTTCAGGGCTCGTCTCGATTCCTCCGATTCGACTCGATTCGATTCGACTTCGATGGCTTCTGATTCAGATTCGATTCGCTTGGAATTCCGATGGTGGTTTCTGGTTCTCACCGGAGGCACACTAGCTTGCCGATGTCCGCCGATTCGGCTTTTCCCGACTCGGCTGCCGATTTCCGCCGATCCGATTCATTTCGATCGCCGATCCGACTTATCGGCCGATTCGATTCTGGGCTCTCTTGCGGGCTCGGGAGCCACGTGGGGTCGATTCCCCCTCTCCGCCCACCGTTGACCCGGCTTTGGGGCTGCTATGCGGCTGGCCAGGATTCGCGACGGGGCCCTGGCCGACCCCCAGGTTTGTGCTGAGCTACTGTCCCAGAGATAGGATGCCTCGTCTTCTTCGTTGCGGAATCATCCGAAGTCCCGGTCGCTTGCTGTCGGTCCCGGTGTCTGGCGAGGGCCCCCGGAGGCCGAAAATTACGATACATCTCTGCAATTAGTTTTCGCTATACAGTGCCGGTTTTAATACATGCTCCGCGTGCGGATCATGTATTAAACTTGCAGGGATTTAACATTAAAAGCAATGATGAGTTCATGCATCAATTTATTCATAAGTCAGTCATGTATTAAAACCCTATGTTTTTTGTTTAACGAATGATCCCGGCAAAGCAACCTAACAGCGACGTGTAGGAGCATATCTGGAAGCATTCCCCTTAAGATTCAGATGATAATCCAGTTGTAGAATTCTGCTGTTCTCGCAGTCGTAGTCGCATTCGCGATGACAGTCGCAGTGGCAACGGCAGTCGCAGTCACAGCCTCAGCCTCAGCCTGCCTCAGCCTCAGCCTCAGCCTGCCTCAGCCTCAGCCTGCCTCAGCCTCAGCCTCAGCCTGCTTCAGCCTCAGCCTCAGTCTGCCTTCAGCCTCGGCCTCAGCCTCAGCCTGCCTCAGCCTCAGCCTGCATCAGCCTCAGCCTCAGCCTCAGCCTGCCTCAGCCTCAGCCTCAGCCTCAGCCTCAGCCTCAGCCTGCTTCAGCCTCAGCCTCAGTCTGCCTTCAGCCTCGGCCTCAGCCTCAGCCTGCCTCAGCCTCAGCCTGCATCAGCCTCAGCCTCAGCCTCAGCCTGCCTCAGCATCAGCCTGCCTCAGCCTCAGCCTCAGCCTGCCTCAGCCTCAGCCTCAGCCTGCTTCAGCCTCAGCCTCAGTCTGCCTTCAGCCTCGGCCTCAGCCTCAGCCTGCCTCAGCCTCAGCCTGCATCAGCCTCAGCCTCAGCCTCAGCCTGCCTCAGCATCAGCCTGCCTCAGCCTCAGCCTCAGCCTCAGCCTGCCAGCCTCAGCCTCAGTCTGCCTTCAGCCTCGGCCTCAGCCTCAGCCTGCCTCAGCCTCAGCCTGCATCAGCCTCAGCCTCAGCCTCAGCCTGCCTCAGCATCAGCCTGCCTCAGCCTCAGCCTCAGCCTGCCTCAGCCTCAGCCTCAGCCTGCTTCAGCCTCAGCCTCAGTCTGCCTTCAGCCTCGGCCTCAGCCTCAGCCTGCCTCAGCCTCAGCCTGCATCAGCCTCAGCCTCAGCCTCAGCCTGCCTCAGCATCAGCCTGCCTCAGCCTCAGCCTCAGCCTGCCTCAGCCTCAGCCTCAGCCTGCTTCAGCCTCAGCCTCAGTCTGCCTTCAGCCTCGGCCTCAGCCTCAGCCTGCCTCAGCCTCAGCCTGCATCAGCCTCAGCCTCAGCCTCAGCCTGCCTCAGCATCAGCCTGCCTCAGCCTCAGCCTCAGCCTGCCTCAGCCTCAGCCTCAGCCTGCTTCAGCCTCAGCCTCAGTCTGCCTTCAGCCTCGGCCTCAGCCTCAGCCTGCCTCAGCCTCAGCCTGCATCAGCCTCAGCCTCAGCCTCAGCCTGCCTCAGCATCAGCCTGCCTCAGCCTCAGCCTCAGCCTGCCTCAGCCTCAGCCTGCTTCAGCCTCAGCCTCAGTCTGCCTTCAGCCTCGGCCTCAGCCTCAGCCTGCCTCAGCCTCAGCCTGCATCAGCCTCAGCCTCAGCCTCAGCCTCAGCCTCAGCCTCAGCCTCAGCCTGCAGCCTCAGCCTCAGCCTGCCTCAGCCTCAGCCTCAGCCTCAGCCTCAGCCTCAGCCTGCAGCCAGCCTGCCTCAGCCTCAGCCTCAGCCTGCCTCAGCCTCAGCCTGCCAGCCTCAGCCTCAGCTGCCTTCAGCCTCAGCCTCAGCCTGCCTCAGCCTCAGCCTCAGCCTCAGCCTGCAGCCTCAGCCTCAGCCTCAGCCTCAGCCTCAGCCTCAGCCTCAGCCTGCCTCAGCCTCAGCCTCCTCAGCCTCAGCCTCAGCCTGCTTCAGCCTCAGCCTCAGTCTGCCTTCAGCCTCGGCCTCAGCCTCAGCCTGCCTCAGCCTCAGCCTGCATCAGCCTCAGCCTCAGCCTCAGCCTGCCTCAGCCTCAGCCTGCCTCAGCCTCAGCCTCAGCCTGCCTCAGCCTCAGCCTCAGCCTGCTTCAGCCTCAGCCTCAGTCTGTCTTCAGCCTCGGCCTCAGCCTCAGCCTGCCTCAGCCTCAGCCTGCCTCAGCCTCAGCATCAGCCTGCCTCAGCATTCAAAATGTGGCCTGCGGATGGAGTTCTGGGAACTCGAAGAACACGAAGTGGCCTACAGTTGGCTCCGGGCATTCAAAGTCATGCCCAGGACTGGAGTTTTGGGAACTCGAAGACCACGAAGTGGCCTACGGTTGGCTCCGGGCATTCAAAATGTGGCCCGGGAATGGAGTTCTGGGAACTCCAAGAGCACGAAGTGGCCTACAGTTGGCTCCGGGCATTCAGAATGTGGCCCGGGAATGGAGTTCTGGGAATTCGAAGACCACGAAGTGGCCTACAGTTGGCTCCGGGCATTCAAAATCATGCCCAGGAATGAAGTTCTGGGACCTCGAAGACCACGAAGTGTGTAACTGTTTGCTGAAAAAACGACTTCCGCGGGTTCTCCCCGGCACCCGCCCAGACCCCCCTGGGGAGTCAAGATGCTCTCTTTTGACACTACTAGAAACCTATCAGTCTTCGCTGTTAGGTAAAAATCCGACGTATTAGAAACTGCCCTGTGCGCTGGAGGTCTGGAGTCAGTGCGCCCCCGAGGCAAGCAGATAATTATGGGGCAGCCCAGCCGCGCGCCCGCTGCGCAAGAGCAAGCGTGGCGCGCGGCCGGGCGCCTCCCGAGGGCGGCGCGGGGGCAGGCCAGTGCGGACTGGCGGACCCAAAAACGGGCCTTGGCATCGCTCGGACGTGTGCATTTTTCCTCCGGCGAGGACCATCGAGGAGTATCCTTGATCCTTTAGCGAGCAAGCCACGCACGGAACCGAGAAAAGCACAGGGAATGGACGTCCGAGCGATGGCCAGGGTCGGGCGGGGGGACCTTCGCCGGCGGGCGGGGCTTTCAAGCTGGGCGCAGCAGCGAGACATAGCATCTGGGTCGGGCTGGGCGGGCGGAGCCAATAATTACGGGCGGGGCGGGCCGGCTGCAGGGGACCCTAACGCGGGCGGGCTGGGTCGGCTGGGCGGGCCTCTGTCGGGCGGCGCGGGGCGGGCGGGCGGAGCCGGGCCAACCGAGGTTCGGGCGCATTGAGCCTGGGTGAACCTGGTATCGCTCGGACGTAGGCATTTGTTCTCGGCGAGGACCATCCTGGACCATCGAGCAAAACAAAAAACAAGCACGCACGAAACACGGCAAATGGACGAGACGGCAAGTGAAGCGAGCCTGGGTGAAGCGAGCCCTGGGCGAGTCGAGCCGGGCCAATCGAGCCCCATTTCGGGCGAACCGAGCCCCCGGCGGATCGAGCCCCGGGCGATTCAAGCCCAGGCGAATCGAGCCGGGCCGGTCGAGGCTCGGGCAAAGCAAGCTGGGCGAATCGAGCTGGACCGAATCGAGCCGGGAGCCTGGTGAATCGAGCCTGGCCGAATTGTGCCGGGCCAATCAAGCCGGCGAGTCCAGACTCTGGCGAGTCGAGCCAGGCGACTGGGCGAATCGAGCCCGGCGACTGGGCGAATCGAGGTTGGTTTCCGCCTTCGAGGGCCCTCCATGGGCCCCGGGCCGTCAACGAACGATTCAGGGTGAAAAACATCGGGGGCGGCCAATCAGGAGCGAAAGAAGGACGTACACGTACATGAATCCACGCTGGTTTCGACAGTACGCATTGCGCGAATGTTTGTAACACGCGGCGGGTCTCGCGGATCGAGGGGCCGTGTTCATGTACATAGTTGGGCGCGTACGTCCTTTGTGGGCTCCCTAGCCAAGAGGGGGGTGATGACTACGGGGGGTACATTATCATGGCGTCAGCCTTGTCATTTTTCCTCAGATTTCATGGCGCCTCTTCTTATTGCATTACGTCCTGGGCCCCCCCCCCTGGGCCGCGCACATGCTGCCAGCCATGATTTGCGCCCCCCCCCCCCCCCCTCTTGGACGACCCCCCTCTTGGCCGCCTCCGAAAACAGGCATTTGTCCATACCCCCGAGGGTCTACGCATCGAACACAGGTTGAACGCCAGATGTCGGGGCCCCGCTGGGGCGAGTGCCCCCATTCGGCAGGTGCCTCGTGGCATCTGGGCCGGCCCTGGGTAACATACAGTTTTTCTGTTTTGTTCTCTCTCTCTCTCTGTTTCTCTGTCTCCCCACTCTCCCGCTGTCCCTTTCCCCCCTCCTGCTCAGCCTCCTGCTCATCCGCCCTTCACCCTCCTCCAATGCACACGCTTTCCTTTTCTGATTGCGCACGACACGATGGGGTTCTCTTCGGTGTTCCATGTTCGTTGTGACATTCGTCGGCGGATACAACAAAACATTCAGCGCAGTGGGAAGGAATGAAAGAGAGGAGTAAGAAATCAGATATGGCGCGAGCTCGCCTATCTTTTCCATCTTCCCCCCTCCCTCCCATATGGCCGTTTCCCTCTTTCTTCTTCCCATTTCCCTCTCATTCTTCAACCTCGTCGAATTTGTCTCTGTAGGTGGGAGGGTTGTCTCAGGGGCGGCCGCCGACGATGACACGCGGAGGCCCGAGCAGGAAAATGCGGCCGCGGCCGCCTGAAGGCAAGGGACCGGCAGAAGCAGTCACGAACGACGGGGTGGGGAGCAGAGGCGGGCAGAACCAGTAGTGATAATAATGCGGAGGAGCAGGAGGAGGAGAACTGAGACCAGACGCAATTATGATTGCAGCTATTGCCGCGGGTGCTTTCAGCCTGCCCGGGCATCCAGGGCACGTGCGACATGTTGCACGCGCGACGGTCCGTCGATTAGCCGCCGGCGGTGGCGCAGAGAAGCTCCCTCGGGCTCGGCACTTGCTCTCGCGCAGGCCACCGTCCAAGAGAAGGAGGGCGGGAGGCACGGGATGGAAGCCACGCTTCTGCCGTCACCAACGTGGTGCCGTCCGGGCTCTCGAGCCCTCTCTGCGCCACGGCGGGGGGGGGAGGAGGAGGAGGAGGAGGAGGAGGAGAGGAGGAGGAGGAGGAGGAGGGAGGAGGGAGGAGGAGGAGGAGAGGAGGAGGATCGCCGCCGCGGCGCAGAGAGGAGGAGGAGGCTGCTTCTGCGCCACGGCGCCCTCTGGAGGTGCCAGCGCCCGCGGCGGGCTCTCGACGCACCCGGGTGGACCGTCCGCGCTGCTCTCCGCGGCGATCCCCCCCCCTCCTCCTCCTCCTCCTCCTCCTCCTCCTCCTCCTCCTCCTCCTCCTCCTCCTCCTCCTCCTCCTCCTCCTCCTCCTCCTCCTCCTCCTCCTCCTCTTGGCCTCCGGGAAATCGCTCTGCACGGTCGGCTCAAGCTCGGCCCAGGCTCGACGCCGGTTCGGCTCGGGGCGAGCGACGTTCGACGCAGCATCGACGCACGAGTGGAGCGAGTGGCTCCTCCTCCTCCTCCTCCTCCTCCTCCTCCTCCTCCTCCTCCTCCTCCTCCTCCTCCTCCTCCAGGAGGGTCTGAAAAATGAGCATCTAAAATGAGCATTGGCGACAGCCTGGCCTGCGTCTGCAGCTGCGAACAGGGCCAGGTCCAGCTCCACTGCCTGCGCTGGCTCCGTCCGCGCGCGGGCGCCTCCGCGCTCACCTGCGGCCTCGTCCGGGGCCAGAAGGTGCATCTGGAGACCAAGAGAGGAGCCCCGGCGGGCGAGGATCCCCGAGCGGCCGATCGGGGAGGAGTCGGGGCAGGTCAGGCTCAGCTCGGGCGCTCCAGCGGGCAGTGGCCAGGGCACGGACGGGGCGCTGTGGGCCCCCCGGCTGTCGCCCGCGTCGGGCGACCATCGGGCCCTGCGCCCGCCCGCGTGGACCGCTCGCAGGGCACCAGCAGAGGCGCTGCATCGTCGCGCCAGGCTCGGCCCATGGTCCTCCTCGCTGTCTGCGGGCCGCGCGGCTCTCTCGGCCGCCGTCGGGGGCAGGGGCTCGAGATCGATGCGCAGGTCGAGATCCAGAGGGGGCCCCAGCACGGCCTCTCCAAGCCTCGGCTTCAGCGTCTCGTGAAACGCGAGTTCCGTCGTGGGATGACCTGCGCCCTCCATGTGGCTAACCCCTCCACTGTTTGCAGCGTGGATCGCCGCGCGGAATCATCGTGGACCGATCGGGGGACGTACCTCCACTCGGGGCTGTACTCAGGCTGCGTCGGAAACACGGGATGCTGTCACGCTTGAGCATCATATGCTGTCGGGATTGGTTGGGTTCAAGATGATTCGTCGAGGGTTGGAGCAGGCCGGTGCCATACATGTGTGATGCGACAACAGTGCGTATGGAGCTGGCCATCTCAAGCCTACGTTCATGGCTGCACGTATCCAGGACATGAAGCAGTTCAGTCTCCTGTGACCTGGGAATCACCATCATATACATTTGTGGGAGTTCCCGGGGCCCGGGCCCCGGGCCGGAACCTCCCTGGTATATAGGTAGTGGCCCCCTCCCTGGACGCCCCTCCAGCGGCCCCCGCGCGTTCCGGTCCGCCCAAGAAGGCTCCAACAGCGCCGAGAGAACCCCAGGATCGCTTCCAGACCGCCGAAGATCGCTTCCAGAAGGGCCAAGATACCCTCAAGCCGCCCCAAGAGGCCGCCAAGAGGCCCCCCAAGAGCGCCCCGGGTGACCAAAATGGCCCCATTCCTTTTGTAAAAGCTCATGTTTAGGGACATCCGAGCGGTCAAAAAGGCCCAAGAGGCGCCCAAGGACGCCTCAGGACGGCTGAGACAGCCCCAAGACGGCCCAGGAGGTCCTCCGGGGACGCTCCTCTGGCGGCCCCCGGGCCTCCCAGTCCGCCCAAGATGGCCCAAGAGACTTCCCTGTCGCCCCGAGAGGGCCCAGGGAGCGCTCCGATACGGCCCAAGATGGCTTCCAGAAGGGCCACGAGGCCCTCAAGACGCCCCAAGAAGGCTCCAAGAGGCCCTCCAAGAGAGCCCCGGGAGACAAAACTGGCCCCATTCCTTTCGTAGAACACATAGTTTAGAAGAGCCCCCAAAAGGCCCAAAGAGGCGCCCAAGAACGCCCCAAGACGGTCTAGGACAGCCCCCTTATACACGTGACACATCATATAGATAATAAATAGGCCCCCCCCAGCCTGGGCCAGCCCACCCCGCAACCATCGAGGGAAGCCTGCTGATACCCTCCCCGTTTCGCTCCCCAGAGGCGGCCGAGAGAGGGTAAGAGGGTGCCAAACGAGCCAAGAGGGTTCCAAGATGCCCCCAAAGACGGCGCAAGAAGGTCCCGAGCTGCCCAATACGGCCCAGGAGTACTCCCAGAGCACCCCCCAGAGGGACCCAAGAGGCCCAAATCATTAAATTTCTTTGGGGGGGCGTACAGTTTTAGCATGTACGACTTTTCAGCGTTCGCGGCTTTCATGACGGTCCAAGAGGCTCTAAAGATTTCCTCAAGACAGCCCAAGACGTTCCCAAGAGGCCCCCGAGCCAGCCCAAGAGGGCGCCAAGAGGGCCCAAAGGCTGCCTGAGACGATCAAGTTGTCCCCAAGACGGCGCCCAAGGCGGCCCCAAGAAGCCACAATCGTTGAATTCATAGGGAAAACGTACATGTGTTTCATGTGCGACTTGTCGGCCTTCACGGCTTTGAAGACGGCCCAAGAGGTTCCCCAGACTTGCCCAAGAGAGCCTAAGACATTCCCAAGAGGCCCTCAAGACAGCCCACGAGAGGGCCAAGACGGCCCAAGGGCTGCCAAAGACTGCCCAAGTTAGCCCCAAAACAGGCCCCAAGAAGGCCCCAAAGGGCCCCGAGTCGCTCAAGACTGCCTAAGATGGCCCCGAGAAGGTCCAAGAAGGCTCCGGGACGTCCCAAAAGGCCTCCAAGAGCATTCCCAAGAGGATCCTTAGAGACCAAATTCGTTACATTCCTGTAGGCGAAACGTACATTTGAAGCACGTGCGATTTTGGGACTTCCACGGCTTTGAAGATGGCCAAGAGGCCCAACATACTTTCCCAAGCGAACCGAAGACGCTCCCAAGAGCCAAAAGGGCGCCAGGCTGCCAAAGGGCCGACTCAGACGGCTCCAGGAGGGGTCCAAGAGGGGAACTCCGACTCGAAAGTAGCAGCCGTCTGCCAAAAGAAACTCCCAGGAGGCCCCAAAAGTCACCAAGAGGACCCAAGGGGTCCCCAAGAGACCCCCAAGAGGCCCAAACGAGGCCTCAAGATGGTTCAAAACGGATAGGGCGGCCTCCAAGAGGTCTTCCAAAGGAATTCGGAAAAGTCTTCTTGCGGATCCGAACATACACAGCTATACGACGACGACGACGACGGCGACGATTTCTTGGCCCATTCTTAGGTCGCTGCGGAATGGCCTCAGGAGGTCTTGGAAGTCATTTGAGCCGTTGGCGTAGTTGTTGGGCTCCCCAGAGGGATTGGTCACAAAGTAGAGGTCTTCAAAGTTCGACCGTGAAGCCTAGCTAGAACCTAAGCGCGCGCGAAGCGCGCGCGTGGTTCTAGCAGACATATGTCGGGAAAGGTGGAGCTAAACGCGTCGTCGGGGAAGTTGGTCCGGGCCTGGAAGACCACTCGGGCCTGGCTCTGTCCTCCTCGGTGGCGTATGGGGTTCTGCGCAAGCGTGGAGAGCTGCCGCGCCCTCCGCCGCCGCGCATGCCTTCGATTTGGAGGGGTCGGAGTTCCTCGTGGCCTCCTTCTCCTCCTCCTCCTCCTCGCCAGTCCACGGGCACCAGCGTGCCCGCGGACGTTCGGCTCACCGTGGTCGGCCGCAGGACGGAACTGGGGCGGCGAGCGGCGCTGGGTCGGACCTCGACGCGGGCGATACCGACTTCGCTGCATCACGCGTCGGTGTTGACCAGCGTCGGGCGCTTTTGCGAGCCGCTCGACGCAGCGTGGCGGGTCCCAGCCCCACAGAGGGGATGCCGGGAACGCTCAACTAGATCAGCGGCGGCGACCGCTTCTCGCTCCCCTACTCCGCCCTGCCTCCCGGGAGCTCGTGAGAACGGCAACTATATGAATTGCGCAGTTCGCGGCCACCCAGGGAGCCGCGAGGTTTCGGCTGGATGCGCGTGCTCCCCGACTCCTGAAGCAGCGGCAAAGCGTCCTGGCGTGCCTATAGGCCTACTAAACAGTGTTCTAAGAACCTTTTGTGTATTCCACGAAATGCTCTTAGATCATTTCTGGCTGGGACTGTCTTGTTTTGAAGCATCGGGTTTACGTTCTAAGAACATTGCTGTTGTTCTTCACACACTCTTGGGTCCCGAGAACACGACGTGGCAGGCCTATAGGCATGCCGGGGCGGTCGGCCCCTGCTCAGACTCCGCCGCGCCTGCTGGGAGGAGGCAGGACGCCCGCGTCGGCGCGGGAGGCCGAGGCCCCCCTGGCGGGGCGCAGCCGTGACCGGCCCGAGACGGCCCGCGGCGTGCGGGCCTGCCAGCTCTCGCAGGCCTAGAGATTGACACCAACACCAATACCAGCAGTGGGCATCCACCGAGGGAAGAAGATCCCGATCTCGGT